TTAAAAATATATCTAAGTTTATTTTCAAGATAATTGATGTTATTAAAATGTTTATTAAATATTAAGCTTTTTAGATAAAATGAAACAAATTATATTTTACACAATCAAAAATTTATTGATTTACATATTTTTAAATCACACTTCAAATTTACAACCAGAGAGATATATTATAACGTTTATCGCTTTCTTTTATAATAGAAAGGCTATTTTGGTGCATTAAATAAATAAAAGATGTTTTATGTTGCACCATCAACGTTGAACACGCTATTTTGTCGTAATACTTGCATGAACAGATAAAATCTACACGATAGACAATTACTACTCAAATAGAAAAAAAATAATAGTTAATATTATTATATAGATATAAGAGTTCAAAGATTAAAAATGATATGTATTCAATCATTGAAGAATAAAAAAATAAGAATAAATCTAATATTTACTTGTGAATTTAATAATAACTTTAATATTATCATTATTAATTGTTACAAAAACTTACTGACTTTAATTAAAATTTATTTTATTTAATCTATCTAATTAGTGAAATTAAATAAATTGTTTTAAGAATTTTGAAACAATGGTTTTAAGATTTCAATGCATTTTATTAAACAATTATATTTAGAAAACAACTCGAAATGTGCTATTGTCCTATTGAAGGTTTTTACTTTATTTTTAAAGTTCTAAGCCTTTATGGTGTGGTGGCTAACTACCCGTGTCCAGTAGTTATGGTCACTATAAAAAACGACAATGTGAAAAAGAGGTGAAATTGGTCGGAGAGAGACAATAGAGTTAAATTATTTATTTGCAGAATAGTTGAAGGGAGCTAAACAGAATCTACTGCTATATTTCATGGGACAAGACGGTTCTAGTAGTGCCGCCATTGTCTGAATAAATCAAACTTTCATTTTCTTAATGGTTTAGTTTTGTCAAAATTCCAAAAACTTGAAAACCATCTCCGGTTCTTACACCAAGGAGGCAACAAATCAACTAGACAGCAATAAAATGAACAGAAACTGATTTTTCTTCCAATTTTTTCCTGTTTACTTCTAGTGCCGACAATTGCCGTTCCTCTTTACACGTTCATGGTTTTGAAAATGATAGATTGTCTAGGTCAAACAGTACTTTTTCTTATCCCATACTTTTTTACTTTTTACATGGTACAAGTAAGTAGATGTAGCGGCAATTTTTCTTATTTTTTGGATTACAACAATAGTATAAACGGGCTATAATATTTAGATGCAAAGTATTTGTAACACTTTTTTTTAAAATGTACTACAATTATTTTTATGAATTTTGATTAAAAAAAAGTTTATATTCTAGGAATATTTTTAACAAAATACACGACATATCATTTTATAAATGCTAAAATGTATTATATACAAAAAAATAAATAAAACTAATTATTTTATATTTAAATTGGTTATCTTACAACGAAAAAATGCGACAGAAGGCACCAAAAATGTCCAAATTAACGAACATCGTTTATAATTCATAGAAGTACCTTTTTAATTATTCACCAACTAATCTGAATACTGATTTTAGTTTTTTATAACTAGTCAATCAATCATATTGCCAACATTATATTATACGTACCTAAGTACATATATTTTTACGCCCAGTTTACCGAAGGTTGTCTAATTTTCAAAATTATTTAAATATTTACGTTTAATTATTAAGTACGTAACTCTATGAGTAAAATTAATTAATTAATATTTAACATTTAATAAGAATAATACCTAATTAGACAACGTTTTATTTATTATAAAATAAATTATTAAGCATAAAACATGGTTCGGACAGTTAAAATAAGTTTTCGATAAAAAGTATTATTTTTAATCAGAATATATAATTTATTTTAAATGTAAAATATAAAGAGGTGCAATAAATACTGATTTATAATACAAGAGAAAATTAATAAGACACAAATCACTTGTTTTTCAGAAGACAAAACCTCTTATAACTTATGAGAGTGTGTATTGGTTCATTTCTTGGTTTGGTCTTATCGTTTCCCTGCAAATGACTGTGTGCAATAAGTCAATAGAGAATACAAAAGAAACTGATGGAGAAGTCTTATTATGGGTTCAAAGTAAATGCACACACATTACCCCTCAACGTATACGGGAAATGACCATGTATAGGAGGGAAAAATATGAGTCATCTGAATTTAGGAGGGTATATCGAATATAAAGGGTCTACCGTCACCGTCTTGGTTTAATAGATGAAAATAAAATTGGCAGAATATTAAAAACATTACAATAAACGTTGATCTTTTTGGAGCTATTTATCAATGTTAATTTGGTTTATTCAATTATATGTATTAACTAATTTATTAATTTTCTTTAAATATATTAAATTTATAGATACGTTATAAAACTACTTTATATGTATTACATTGCTTGTAATAATTGTCAACTTTTTATTTATACTACTATTATTTCATAAAAAAATAAATGTATCATAAAAATATCTAAAATATCATGTTTAATACTTGTTGGTTTTTTTTTACGATGGTTACGTTTAACACGGTAATGCGCTCATTGGTATGACTTCGCATGATTTGTTAACATCGCGCTAACACGTGCAATCATTGTCGGGTGGTAACATTCTTGTTTGAATAATAACGTTATTAATCACATAATTTGTCAAAACTTTCTACATAAGGTGGAGTTGATGAATAACAAGGAGTACTTACTGGTATTTTATTATAATATATACCTATGGACATCGATGTAATAACATAATTTAAGTCAATAAATATACTTAGAATTGCATTCGAGGTGGCAATGGAATGAACTCAACTTATAATTATTATACATGAACTTTCTAAAGATATGAACTCTGGGTGAAATTCAAATTATTGAATTTTTACTATAGGTTTGAGAAGTAATTCAATTTAGTTAGCTACATAAAATTCAAAACTTTATATATAATTAAATTAAATACAATTTTTTAAATGATAATACAAACATGAGAGGCTAGTTAAATTAAACACCAATTGGTCATTATTAAACTATTTAAATAAATAATATAATACAAATAAATATAATAATAAATAATATATCATAATCTTAGAGTACAACGTAATCAAACATTTTATAACAAAAATATACTATGAAATTAAAATGATAATACGATTTATTTTTAACTCTTTTTAGCATTTACAATCATTAAAATTTTAAAACATTGAATTAAAATTGTCACCCATTGGTGGCACTTTATACAGTGATTAATTATAATTTTTAGTTAAGAAGTTCACAATATCACGTTTATTTTAGGTGACTTCTGGGGACACTTGGGATATTAGAAATGGATAATTCGGAGATCAGGGGATTTTGATGGTTTTGTTTGTTAGTATTAAGGCATTTTTAATATGATTTAGTTACATTTTATACTGTGTCGATGTAGAAGTCAACCGGGAGTGTTTCATTTAAAGCAGAATTTAAAGTATAGACGGGGCTTTGATAATTTGATGGATACATTTGGATTAGAACATTTAAATCATATTAATATTTGAAGGTTTGACAGTTCCCCATAACTGGATGCCATAGGCTCAGAGTGGTTTGAGGAGTAGCTTGTGTAGGAAGAGTTTGTTATTAAGATTAACGAGTTGTGATTTATAATGTAAGGAGGTGGCGAAGATGGCGAGAATGATTGTTAGGTTCGGTGTAGACCAAAGTATCGTATACTTTAAAAAGTTAGGATAAGAAAGTTGTGTGATAAAACAAATAAAAAATAAAATGATTTAACTATTTTAATATCATTAATTGCACTATAATTATCCACATAATTTATTTTCAACATCATATTTTCACTTTTGCAAATGTTTAGCTTTTAGCTATTTCCTCAGTTATTTCAAATATCCAAACTAATATTGAGGTAGGTTGAGGTACTGATCTGAATCAAATATTAGTTTAAAACCAATTAATAATGAAATAAAAATCTGAATGTAAACACAATAACAAGTAAATTAATCCAAATCAAATTAATAGTACATTTTTGTTACTTTATTCTATGTAATATAAATTCGATTTATAGTTATTAGAGTTTCATTTATAGACCAATAGAAAATAAAGCAAATACCCACAAAATCCGAAATCTACTGATTAGTGATACCTAATACTGCGGATAGAATACTATTAAAACGCGTACCTACATGGGATATTTTTCAGTGATAAACGATAATAATTTTCTTTTTGATAATGCAGTTTACCTTGGTTATTTAATATTATAGTATCGAGAATCGATGGCGGGTCCGATATGTACTCAGGCAAAGCATATAAAGAACATATGTTTATGTGCTTTGTGCATTATCCACTGATCTTATTGATCACGACTCCCCCTAGCTCTTTCGGCATGTACAACAATAAATGAATATAACAGGCGCACCGAATATTGTACAACATGATACACTAAATATACTGGTAGGAGAGCATCAAAATATTATTAGAGGAGAAAGCTTCTTCATTACTATTGTCGGTTTATCTAATCAAATTCCATACGTACTTGTGTTTTCCCACTATTTATCCGATTAAGCTATATTTTAACTGTAGTGGTATACAACTCTTAGCGATTCACGTCATAGTTAGAATAATAAGAGAACGTTTAGGACGAGGTTTGGGGTAAGGAAGTCGGAAATGAAATCACATATTTGTTGCTATAATTGCAGTATTTGTTATTATCATTAATACACAGAAAAATTGTATACAACTTTATTAATTAAATATAATTACAATATTTTATCATCCAAGAATATACTGCGACTACATTACTGTTTTATTATGCATTATTTTATGAGATATTTCGAAAAAAATGATTTTATTTCTAGAAATTACGAAACTAACTTAGTTTTAAATTTATTAAATTTGGACAAAATTTATTTTGAATTAATATTAATATTAATATATATATACTTTAATTTTAATTTTAAGTTGATACAAAAAAAGTATGCCTGAATGTAATAAAAATTAAACAAAAATATAGACAGATAATTTATTACTACTTACCAAAAAATGTTCCTGATTGATTTTCAAAAATCCCGTATAAATATCTACAAATAAAAAGGATATATTTATTAATAATATAAAAAAAAAAAAAAAAATAAATAAAGTTAAGTTAGTTATGTACTTATACTATACATAAATTATATTTATAACTACCTATAATGAAACAGATAATCTTATTTAACAGTACATTTTATAAAAAAAATTTAAATAGGCAATAATATGTATTTTATTTTATGATCATAAATTTATTTTAATTTAATTCAACTAATAAGATTGTTATTATGGGTTAATTTTTTATGTTTGCACTTTAAAATTGCTAATTAATTTGAATTACATACTTCTATATATTTAAGTAAAAATTGTTATCAGAAAATAGTATATTGACATATAAAATTAAGTATGAATATTTTTGAAAAATGTTTGTTTGGTAAAATGTTTGTTGCGAAAAAAAATGAATTACGAAAATAGTTAAGTATATTGGCATTTAGCACTACCTAATTAAACCTCATAAATATTTCTACAATAATTTCAACATAATGCAATTAATTTAGCATTTTTTTAAAATTAAATATATACTTAAAAGATCTTTTTATTTTAATTTTAAATAGTCTTGTAGGTTTTATCATTAATGAAAATACAACTATATTATCAAGAGAAATAAATAACTTGGGACAAATGACGCTGACAAACATTCCCATGGGCACCGATTCATACCAGTATGCTTAAAAAACTGTTATTACAAATAAAAATGAAATAAATAAAAAAAAAAAAACTTGATCATATTTCATCGAGTCCACTTGGTGTTTACAGTGGACATAATATGTGGTGATAATGCTTTTTGGGGGGTTTACAATCCTTCTCACGTTAGAATTTTAATGGACTCCCTGGTCCTTTAACCCTTTTCTCTGGTATTGTGTGCAACAACCCCAAAAATCGTTTAAATTAGGGAAAGTATGGTAAAATTGTTGCATGGGTTTTGAAAGAATGCTTTTGGTTTCGACGTTGGTACTCTAAAATATGGTTCAACAGAGTATAAAGTAGTTTGTCCACCAATCCCATGAGCATAAATACTAATGTTTTTACAGCTTATGATAAATTCAACTATAAACTTCATAAATAGGTAACAGTACAATTTCAGATGGCAAAATTAAATAATATCCCATGAATAAATAGTGCAAACGTTTTATTTAAAAAATAAATAAATAAATAAATTAATTAAATTAGATTCAAAATTATTGAAATAATTATTTTCTAGTTAAAAGTGGACTGATGAGAAAATAACCGACCAATAAAGTTATACGAAGATCTGGAAAATGTGATTGTTATATTCTCTAAATTTAACTTATTTATTTTTATAATCTATATTATAAAATTAAAATATAAGTGATAGTAAGATCTTAGTTTAAGCTCAGTATAAATGTTAAGAGAGGAAATAATATATTTCATTATCTTAGTAAAATACTGCGTTACAAGGGTAGGAATAAACTTTCTACGAAGCTGTTTTCCTGTAAAAGTGAATTATTACAAAAGTTTTATACGAAACTTGAATGAATATTTTTTGCGTGATGTAAAAAAAATTTACAAAATAATAATACATTTTTTACATGCAATGGAAATATACGAATTTTATGCAACTAATATATAACTGGATTAAATATTTTAAAATATATGTTGAATTATTAAAATAGTACTTATATTTGTTTAAATAATTTCAATTTTTATTTTAAACATGATTTTTACAGCTATAATATATTTAAGTAACATTCCTTGAAAAATTACTAAGGAATATAAATCCAAATTTTATTCTAGTTTAAATACATCCTGTATCTATATGTAAAAAATAACTTCGACTTAGGTAAAAATGTTTTGGGTAATTTTTTATTATTCCAATTACATGACATTTGCGTGTATGTCTGTAAATAGAACAGTTTTTAATATTCTTTATAAACTCCTATATGGTAGGAAAAAAACGAAATGGGGGTTTTTTCAATGGGTTTGACTTTCATTGCTCTAAAAACACATGCTATATTTTTTTTCGTCCAGCAGTGACGAAAATGTATATGAAATCAAAAACCAGGAACAATAAATCATTTCCATTTATTGAACTAGAGAATAAATTTCAAATAGGACGAAAAAAAATAATATGAAGAAAATGGAACTTAAAAATGGAATTATAAACTCGTTGGCTGATAAATTAACATATTTCTCTCTGTAAAAAATGGAATTATTCAATATTGATGCATCTAATAGAAAAAATTCCTCTTAAATTGTATTTATAATTCAATTTTAGATTTTTAAACACTGCTATAAGTTTTCCAAAAAAAATAGAGAAATGTTCGAATTTAAAATATTTAGAAATAAGCTTATTTGTTAAATATTTTTTAAATGAGTTCAATAAGCAGAATTATATTTAACCTATAAAAATAAGAATATATTTAAGGTATAATTCTTTATAACAAAATAGCAAACTTTTGGACAGGATTAATGTTTGGAAGTACACCATGATAGCCATGTTTAACAACTACACGGAATGTTGAATCTACGTATAAATATATGTAAAAAAAACGTGGTTATTAGGTTTATATCACAAACAAAAGAACTTCAAAAATCCTTAAGAAAAATTTATACTTGGGTAAGTTATGTTACTTAATAAAAAAAAAATTATTCATAATCTAACAATCAATTAACGCACAAAACTCATTCCATTTCACGATTTTTTTTTTTAAATTTTAAAAGAAAGACTTGTTTTAAATTTGTTTTACTTCATATAGCAATTAATACAAAATAAAACAAATAATATAACAAGTATATTTTTGAATAAAAATTGAAAATAATTAAGGATCCGCTGTAGTCAATTACTTATGTTTAATTTGTAATAATAATTGATATCAAATTATGTGAGTTATTCTTAGTAGTTTTTCATTTTCTCTTATATCTAGCTTAATATATCAAGATAATACTTAGTGGTTGATTAAAAAAAAAAAAAAAACAACAACAACCTATAATATTAAGAGTTTACTAAATTCCATAAATAAAATATAAAGTGTATACCGACTCAAACTAATAGATGTTTCATACGATCTGCGATGATTAAGAAAAAATAATACATTTAACTATTCAAACTTAGGTAATACAGTTAAATAATATACATTTAATGTCGTTTTTTAAAATTATTCACACATTAATATTTCTTAATATTATGATATTAACCCTCAGAGGGACACTAAATAAAATACATATTTAGTGCTACGGGCTTAGCGCACCCGGGGCCCCGAGCTGTGGGCTAACTTTAATCTAGTTGGCCCAAAAAAGTTCTCCAGTTTTGGGGATTAAGCTATTAATGATTAAAGCTTTAAAAAATATTGTGGAAGAAGTTGAAAAATACAAAGTACCAATAGTCGCAATACAGGAAACTCGGAGGCTTGGAAATGGAAATGTGCAATTTGGGAACTCGACTATCTTCTTTAGTGACAAAAAGACAAGGAGACACGAACAAGGAGTAGGCTTCATAATTAATAACTCGATTATGCCAAGTATTAAGCTATTCATTCCAGTAAAAGAATGGCTTTGCTATCTGCGAGTTACAGGACGAAAATTCGATGTATTTATAATTAATTGCTAGGTTCTTACAGAGGGTCAGGATGAGGAAGTGAAAATATTTTCTACGAAGATCTAGAGAGACTATTTGATTCTCTACCAAACAACTGCATCAAAATGGTTGCTGGTGACTTTAATGCGCAAGTTGGTAAAGAAAATTTTCTTAGACCAACTATAGGCCAAGAAAGCTGGCACCTGCAATCCAACGATAATGGGCTTAGATTAGTTGGCTTGGCAGAATCTAAAAACCTCATCATAAGTAGCACTTATTCTCCCAGAAAAAACATTCACAAGCACACGTGGACTGCCCTAGACGGTAAACCAAAAATCCAAATTGACCATATAATTATTGACAAGCGTTACCGAACATGCATAAAAAATGTCAGAAGTTATAGAGGCGCTGATGGGGACTCAGACCACTTCTTAGTAATAGCAAATCTTTCATTAAATCTATCAGCAATTTGGAAAAAGAAACGACAATTGAACACAATGCATAAATTGGATAGGTGTAAATTAAGATATCAAAAGGCAATCAGAAAATACCAAAAAAAAAAAAAAAAAATTAAGTAAGGTTTGAACTGCTGTACTTTAGTACAAAACGAAATGAATAACGTAATTAGACTCAAATAAAAGAATCAATAAATAAGGCAGCAGTAACACTCAGAGATACTAAAAGAAAAAGTAAGAATCACTGGTTTGATGATGAATGTCAAGAAGCGATAATGAAGCGAAAAGCAGCAAGAGTAAAAAATGATACAAAACCCTTCAACCAAAAATATAGAGGAATATACAGTCTCGTACGAAATCAAATAAATTAATCAGAAAAAAGAAAAGATCATCAGAAAAAACCAATATAAATGATATTGAAGCATATAAGAAAGACCCGAAATTGTTTTTTGAAAAATGTAAATCAGTAAAAGACGGTTTTAAGTCTCGTAACTACCTTATGATTGATGACGAAGGTAATCATGTGTCAGACCCTAAAACTATCGTGAATAATTTCCAATTGTATTTTAAGAATTTACTAAACACTCCAACGCACTATGATATAGGTAATGCAAATGGAATTTGGAAACAAGGTGAAGACCAAATGTATGTTACAGTTGAACCAGGAGTACCAGAACCTTCTTTAGAAGATATTAAGGCAATAGTGGAGTCCTTGAAGAACACTACAGCACCAGGAGAAGACAATATAAATGCGAAATTGCTTAAACTTGCGGGACAGGATCTCTTGAAAAACTTACATAAAACCATCTAAATTATATGGAAGGAAGAAAATATTGAGAAGGATTGGAATACAGCTGTTATCTGCCCGATTTACAAAAAAGGAGATCCCAAGAAAGTAAAAAATTACCGGGGCATATCCCTTTTAGACACTGCTTATAAAGTCCTGTCAATAGCTATTCTACATAGACTTGAAAAGTATTTATCAGAAATAATAAAATAA